TACCCTTCCTTCATACTGAAAACAGAGAACACCCTGTAAGTCGGGACTTCTCAGGCATCCAAGGCCTAGAGAAGGGAAGAGCAAGAAGCCTGGGCCCTGTACTCCACCCAGGCCCTTGCAACACCCTACCATCATCTGTCTGTGCTGGTTCAGGAATCTTCGAAGGCTGTCTGGAAAAGCAAGAAGGGTAATTTTCACCCATTTATACCTAGCAAAACTCTATCAGCGGGAGGGAGCATCTACTCTCCAGAGATGAAAAGATGGCAGATAGCTCTGAAGAACTAAGAAAAAATAAAATGAAATAAAAGCAGGCATTGCTGTAGATCTGGAAATATTAAAGAACATATAAAAAATCAAAGGACTGATAACTATATGAGGGTAGCAAAAGAATAACAGCAATGATTACATTGATAGCAATGAGGATAATTGTTGCTGGGGGTAGCATAAACACAGGGACAAGGAGGGATGACCTTCTTTAAAGACTGTGGAGCATTTATGTTTAAAAGTGAGTATTTGTTCATTATTGTTTTGCATTATTCTTTGAAACCATATTGGAAGTGGTGAGCCCTGTCCTTATAGCCATACTGACCAACCTCAGTAAAACTAGACCATTGTGTGTACCATGGCCTCAAGCCCATCCGCATATATATTAGGAAAAGTTAGTTTACGGAAACAATGCATCGTACAAGCCTAGTATATACTGGGAAAGTCAGTAACAGATTCCTTTTCATTTGAGAGACATCCATAGCACATAGGATCTGTCCCAAGTTGCATTGAGTCCATAAGAACACACTCCAATTAATGTAACTTTTTCGAAGGAACTGGGTACCCTCTCACTGTCCAAGGTGATCAAAGAGATGGTAATATAAGACAATACATAGGTGAAAGTAACAGGCCACAAGATGAGCACCAGCCGTGAGAATTTTTTTCTGCTAGAATGAATCATTATTAAATGACCAGGACTTTTGTTATTATTGTTATTGCCTAATTGGATAGTACTTTGAATTATGACCAAAATCCAGTACTGGACTCAGTTTAACCAAATGGCTATGTGTGTTTTGATTTGAAAACATTGAGCAAAATCTATTAAGAAAGTATATAAAAGCAATTTCTCAGCAAATAAATAAATATTCTCTGGATTCTTTTAGCTTACAGCCTTCTAGAGAGGGAGAAGGGATCATATACACTTTCATTTATTCACGTGAAACTCGCTAAAGTAAGTGGGAGAAATGAGGCTTCTTCAACATCAAAATAATGTCATGGGATTTCTGGCATTTACTAATATCATAATTTATCATTAATTCAAAAACTGCAAAGCATCAAACCAGGTACAGTACAACCACAAAGGAGTATATGCCACCAAGAAAGAAAACCCATCATAGTCCACAGATTTTTGGCAAAAAGAACGGCCCCCGATTCCCTTTGATTACCACAGGAGTTATTTCCTCATCTTTTCAGAGATCATGACTTCTCTCTGAACAATCCTTTATAGGAAAAAGAATGTCTGTTTTTATTCCGTCTTCTGTCACTTTAACACGTTAGAGACCCAATCAAAGTTTGTCAAAGAAAAAGTCTTCTTCTCAAAAGTAAATAAAATGTTCATTCACTTTGGGTAAATTTCCTCCTTCAATCCGACCATCTGGATCTAAATTAAGGTACCCTACTTTGAATATGGGTGTGCACGCCATCTGGCTACCCAAAAGCGGCTATGACTTCAGGTAAATGAACACTTCGCCTAATTCTAAGCAAGTGTGTTCTCCTATAGGAGATGATGACATAAATACACATCCCTTTTATCTGCATGCTGTAAATCTACTTGGAAAAGAGTAAGTATATGTTCTGACTAAAGGTGATAATTTATTATATGTGTGAAAACACCTTAATTTTAGGGTAGCTTGCTATTTTTCAGTATTCAACAAGTGACAGGCTTTCTCCTAGTCAATTTTATAAGTAAGAATGGAAGATATACCCATGATTAAAGAATCTTGGATTTCATTGAGAAGTTTGTCTGCTGTGTGGATAACTCAGTCTTCCCTGTAGGACAGACTGAAGCACTTTCCAACATGTAGTGGAGGATAAAATTTTTCAGGTCAAAGGTACAGAGCACACAGGCTAATCCTCCCTCACCGAAGATCTTTCATACAGCTGGATCAGACTCATCACTCAGGAGTGTAGGGCAGGAGGACCAGGAGCTGCAAGCCAGTCTTCCCTATGTCTTGAAACTCTTCCTTAAGGAAACTAATGAGAAGGAAATTCCTTCTCCTGAGTGTCTGAGAAAGGAGGCAACAAATAAGACTGATCAGATAGTTATGGGCTACAGCTTCTACCAGGCTAAGCGAAGTAAGGAAGTTGTGGAGTGGTTCTCCTAAGTATTTTGAGTTACTCAGTGTAACTCCTGTTGGCAGATTGACTATTTGTTTTCATTACAGAAATTATCCTATCATTAAATGGGCAAAAATGATAATTAACTAAAGATCAAGATAAGCAATCATTAATCAAATGAAAATTCTAAGTTTGCATCTGTGTCCTTTTAGAAACTGGGCTTTTAAATGCCAATTTACATTGAATTTTTTTTAGTACAAAATCATTATCAATACAAGGCCAACCTTGGCTGAGTTCCTAATATTGGTCAGCTTTAAATCCTCTAGGTAGCTATAGTAACAAGAACAACAAAAACTAATGTATGGAATGTCAGTATACTTAGGAAATTATTAAATTACTTTCGCCTTATCTACTCCAGATGCAAATGCCAGGAAATTATAATATTCACTTTGTTGCTGGAGGTGGAAGACAAAAACTTTCTCTAAGGTTGTATCTAGAAATAAATCCGTCCTGGGATTTTCCAAACACTGAATCCCACATTTCTATTGGAAAGCATGTGCGCATCAGGATCAACTTCCAGCCAAAGTATTTCCACCTCCAGGGAAAGCTGAAGGAGGAAGTCTGAATACAAACAGGGACTGTGGGTACAAGAAATCCGGTGCAGGGCAAGTGGAAACATCTGGTCGTTTTTGGAGTCCTCTTAATTTGAAAGCACTGACCAAAACAAGCCGAGTTCTGCCAAATACATCTTGGCATGGCTTAAGGAAAAAAAAAAAACACAGAATTTGAGAGGGAGCAATTTTTTTTTCACCACAGTAAGATGCATTCATGAGGATGCGCCACTCTGCAGACATGATGAGTGTGTTTCCAAACATAACATGCAACATCTGCCTTCTATGCCTTTATTGCATATTTCATATCACTGTGGGCTTAGACATACTGTTAATCTGGAATCTGTTCTAGAGGACGTGATAGTGAAGGATTTGAACTATCCATGCCAGATCTTGGGTGTTAGAAACGGAATAATAATAATGATGATGTATTGACTTAGAGGAAGTTGGACCCATCACACGACGGCTAACACGTGGAATACTTTATGTGGGGTTACTTCACAGCAATCTATAAATGATAAAACTTTTGAGCACTTCCACACTGCAAGGAAAGTTTCCCAGCCTCTCCCACCTTAACTGTTTCTGAGAGTTCTCAAGCACCTTGGCTCAGGACTGGGCATACCAAAGTTCAAGTTCCGTTTCTCTGATGACAGCCTGTTTAACCTTAGGTGCCCTGTGCCGCTCTGAGTCCCGGTGTCCCCCGATGTTAGGAGAGTCCCTGGGAGGAAAGAGGAGGCTCTGCCTCATTGCTTACTAATGATGGGTCTACCTAGACGTAATGATTTCATTTATTAGTTCACTCTGATTGTTCATCTGCCCTATAGTCATTTAATTAATTGAAGTTATTTCAAACGCAATGAAAACAAGAGCCAGTCATACATTCATTCAACAGTACACGCAAAAGCTGACTACCACAGGACACGCATTTGAACTTTGAAGTACTATACATGGCAGGCCTGACCTTGGGTGAAGTGCTTTTCAAGGCCATATTCATCAGTCCTATAATGGAGAGTGGGACTATTATTATCGCCAAGTTAGAATTTAAAATGGGAGCTCTGGGGCCGAATTATCTGGGTCTCATTTTGGGATCTAAGTCAAACTACGACTTTGCTGAGCCTCCGTTTTCCCACCTGTAACACGGAGAGCAGGGACAGCGGCATGCACCCCTTAAGACTCTCACGAAACTGTTCACCAGGAGAGCCTGGTGCAGCTGTCAATCATTGCCAAGCACCGTCAATGTCGATTCTTTCCCCAAACTTTCACCACAGCTATTAGAACTATGAAGATCTGGACAGAAGCTTTTGGCTCTAGAGAAAGCCCCCCCCCCCCGCCTCACAAAAGCTAAGAAAATGTAACCCAGATCTAAAGTCAGCAAAGGCACTGGAGACTGGCTGCGGGCTTTCCCTCCCTTCTGGGTGTAGTCAATTCCATTGGCTGCAGCTGAGGAACCAAATGAAGGCAGGAGCCCCTGGGCACACCGCAGTGCCTTGGAGGTCCCTCTCTCTGATCTTCACCATGACAACTGCAGTTCCACATTCCAGCCCCAGTCCTGCCTTTCCCTCGAACTTCTCTTTGGGATCAAATCTCAACTTTCAATTTGGAAAAACTTTACAAAGTCAAAACTTAGGCTGTGTTCTGAGTCTTCCATGGGTACCGAGGTACTAGTCATAAGCAAGGCAGGTGCGCAAGGGGAAAGGGTGTGTCTGCCCTGACCTGATAGCTGGGTTGAGGTTTTTTGTTGTTTTTGGTGGTAGTGGTGGTGGTTTGTTTTGTTTTGTTTTGTTTTGCTTTGTTAGCTTGTCATTTAGATAACCAGTCAGGAGGTGCAAGGTCCGAACTAGAGGAAGGGACAGCAAACATCACCTTTCGGTATTGCTGAGTTTGTGGACTTGGCAACAGAACCCTATAGTTCCAAAGGACCATCCCATCTAACCTTGGCTCCCTTCCCCCAACCCCGGGGTTTCTGGAAATTGGAAGCCAACGGGGACCCCAGGTCGCCTGCGCTCGCTCAGCAGTGCGAGCCGCCCGGCGGGGTGGGGCAGCGCGGGGCACCGCCTCCCTCCATACCTTCTCTCCCCGTGGAGCACGTAGGAGCTGCGGAAGAAGCCTAGGAGCTCGTTCTCTATCAGGGCATTGTAGATAATCTTTAGGTTGTAATTCCTCTGCGCGTCCAGGGTTCTATTCAGCACCACCACCAAGACCTGGGTTTGTGGGTAGAGGAAAAAGCCTGCTACCGGGACAGCCCCAAAAGCACGGTCCTCCGCTACTTGCACCTTCTCCACCGCTACCCGGGAGGCGTGCAGCACAACGTAGCGGGTGGCGTTCCGGCACGCGATCTCCACGTTGACCTCCCCAGAGAAGGTGAAGTTCTCCATGAAGGCGGTGAGCATCAAATTGTAGTGCAGTGGCTTGAGGTGGCCGGATAGGCGCAACTGCGTCCAAGGCTGCCACTGCTCTGACTCTTCCTCCGACGGCGGCAGGGCAGACGGGGTCCCGGGGGTGTCCACCTCCCCGGTCTCGCGCTGCGAGGATTCCCCACCAGAGTGGTGGTTGCGCCGGGCAGATCCTGGGTGGCTGCCGTTGCCGCCGCCGCGCTCAGGGAAGCCCCCGGGGCCACCGTCGGAGCCCGGCACCGCCGCGCTGGCTCCACACTCGTCGAAGCGCAGGCTGAGCAGTACGGCCAGCATGGTGACCGCCAATAGTGCCACGATGGACACGGCAAAGGCCAGCACAAGCCGCTTGTGTACCGCGATGTGGCGCTCCGTGGTGCGGGGTCTCACTCCCACCGAGTCAGTCCACGGGTCCGAGAGCCCCCTGCCGCTTGCCCGGAGCGCGGCGTCGTCTTCTCCCATGGTAGCTGCAAAGGGTGAGCTGCTCTTCTCGGCCCCCTCCTCCTCCTTCTTCTTCCTCTTCTTTTTCTTCTTCTTCTTTTTCTTCTCCTCCTCTTGCTCCCCCCTCTCGCCGTCCAGGGCCATCATCACACCGCCTCCTCCTCTTCCCCCGCCCCCTCCGACACCCCCAGCGGGCGGGCCACCCGGGCCACCGCCAGCGCAGTCATCGGAGAGCGCACGCGGGCGGAGGGCGCAACGCCGGCTGGGACCCTAGGGAGGCCAGCCCGGGTTCTCTAGAGACAAGCTCTGGTGGCTGGCGACGGCCGCGACGACCCCCAGCAGCCCCGCCTCTCTCCGGACACCAGCTGTGATTCGCGGGGCAACCAGCTCTGGGACGCGCCCAACTTGGGGAGCTTGCCGCTCGCAGGGTGCACGCTACTCGTCGGACTGGCACCGGGTGCCCGGGCATAGGCTGCCCCCGCCCCTGTGCGCCTGCGGCTCTTGCGTCCTCCCGGGCGCTGCACTCTCCCAGGCTGATTGCGGCGGCTCTCGCACCAGTCCTCGGCCCGGAGGATGGAGAGTCTTAGGGAGAGCGACCGAGCAGGCAGGCAAGTTAGGGTTTCGCCCAGCTCCGGGCACTCCGGCAGTGTTCGGTCTTCTGGGTGGGATGTGCTCGCAAAGACAGTTGCGGCGGTTGCAGCCCTGGAGGAGCCTGAGCCTTCCACCCCGCAGAGGGAGAGGAAAGGAAGGAACAGAGGACCGAGGTAAAGACTGGAGTGAGCCAGCTGGAGGAAGTCCCACGGCTGAGGAGCATCCGTCCTGGAGAAGCCTTCTCCACCCTGGACACTTTAAGCGGCGGCGGTGGTAAAAGGCGTGAGGTTGCAGACTGGACAGAGAGCCTTCCGTGTTCCGATATTCTTGTGCCCTCTGGAACAAGTGAAGAAGTGTCCCGCCGGGGCATCCACTTCAGGTAGATAAAGGTCTCAGCTGTGTCCCCGGGGGGAGGGGGGAGAAGAACCGAAGTGCGTGTGTGCCAGCGCGTGTGCATGTGTGCGCGCGTGTGTGCGCGCGTGTACGTGTATGTGTGTGTACACGGGTTCCGGGTCTAGATTGGCAAGGCTACTCCAGCTGCATTCAGGGACTGAAACTCCCTGAGAAAGGAGAGAGCGAGTGAGGGAAGGCTGGGAAAGCTGGAGGGAGGGGAGAGGTTGAGCGGCAGAGGCAGGCGCTGGGAGATTAGAGAGCTTTTCCCCGCTCTGTCACACCAGACACCCACAGCCACAGACAGGGCTGCTGAGCTGCCTGCGAGAGTACATTGTAAATCTTCAGCGCAACAAGCCCGGCAGTCACCCCTCTTCCGACTCCTTAGCCCCACTGTGGCTCCCCAGAGGTACCGCCGCCAGAGCCTTGGGCTATTAGCATCAAGAGGCTGCTGGAGAGGACTTGGCAGTGTCAGATCACACATCAAGCTCGCCAGAGGATTTGGGGAGTTGTATGTAAATTGAAATAAATTCTCCAAAGCCTGACTGCATATGTTATAATGGTGTAGTGTGGCCAGGTGTGCAGTAGTGACATAATGGCTCGCGATGAAAAGTCCTGCATAAGTAAAAGACCAAAGAAAGGATACAGAGTCCCCGTGGGATTCATTTTATTTTTAGACTGGGAAAAGGGTCAAAAAAGAAATAATGCCTACAATACAACATTCAAATAACAAGTGTAAGGAAAACGGGGGGTGGAGGCTCCATAACTGGATTTTACTAGAACAGTGGATAAATGTATTCCCACGGTGGGTCAGTTTGTCACTTCACCTCGCCACGATTACTTTTTGCAACTCCCCTGTGTTATCGTGAAAATTGTTTAAACTTCATTAAGGCAGTTATGAATCCCGGTGTGTACTGACAACAAGCATTATCATCAAAGTTCATAGCTTGCTGACTGGCTTTGGACTCTCATGAGTTTGCCGGAGTTCTGGATTATAGTGGAGTAGGGTGCTATGCAAACTTCAAAATGTGTCGAAAAAGTTGTGACATGAACAATGCTCAGAAGACCGCCACCTCGAAGGTGACAGAGTTAGTCCGCTCTGATTTTTAACAAAGTATGAGGTTCAGTCAATAGAAAATGAACACACTTCTTTTGTCTCTTTAAACCCAGACTATCAAACATTAAGAAGTCATGTCTGTCGTCATTTTTCATAGATAGATAGATAGATAGATAGATAGATAGATAGATAGATAGATA